CACACACACACACACACACACACACACACACACACACACACACAGTACAAGTGAGCAAAGCATGACTTTTTTATGTGCTCATTGGTCCTTCATGTGGTTTTATGATGATATATTAATCAAGGCAATACGTCACAGTGTAGGGACAGTCATTAAAAATATACCTACACCCAGTGGAGTCATCACTCGGCTACTTCCACAAACTAAAAAGGGAAGAAAGATAACAAGAAGAGGAATGACTTAAAAGTGCCAGATTGTTCCAGTGGGTTGAACTTTTGAGGAAAACTGGATGTGTTCTTATGTCCCGAACTCACTGCAGCTCAACCAAGTGTTGGACTTGAACTGTGAAATTTACAGGAATAGTTCAGTATTTTTGGACATCTGCTGCCTCGCTGAGAGTTAAATGAGAAAGTCAACGCCACTCATCATGTCCGTCTTAGCACAAAAACTGGAAACAGCTAGCCGGGTTCTGTCCGACGGTAATAAGACCCACCTATAAGCACCTCTAAAGCTCGTTAACACATTACATCTTTGTTTAATCATTACAACAACTGAAGTGTAAAAACGACAATGTGTGGTTTTTACTTCTTAGCTTCATAGTTAATGGACAGATACGAGTGTAGTCTCTGTCTTCTCATCTAACGCTCAGCAAAAAAGGGAATAAGTGCATTTCCCAATATGTCAAAGTGCTCCATTAAATAGACTAGAGTTTCAAAACGTGGACATGCAGTGGGCTCCTACAGGCACAACTGCCCAATGTTGTTAATAAGCTGAAGGCAGAGAGCAGGAAGGAAGGTATGGACAGAAAAAAGACGAACAAATACAAAGAGGAGGAGTAAGGCACATTGGACACGGGTGACGTAGATAAATTGGTAGATTTGGCACTGCTTGATACCGACGCTGGTCGGAGGAACACGAACATTAGCGCATCAAAACTACACAGACTGTATGAAACAGATAAAAGGATACCAAGGCTTTCCACAGACAGCAGTCTTTGCTTGCAAAAATCCCACTCGCATTTTCACAAGCATAAAAGGAGCTAGCCACAGGGCCAACTCATCACATGCAAACGCCAGCTGCCGAGAACCCAGCATTTTGGGCCTCATAAAACCAACAGCAAAACAAGACGGGAGGGAGAGGAATGAGGCAGGGGCACAGTCAGAGGTATGGATGGCTGAGCTCCTACAGGAAGGAGACACATTCCAGTAAAGCTTTTCCAAGATATTCTCCTCCCCTGCTAACCTTTATATAAAACACGGCAACCACAAAACATCTAAACAAGCTATGGAGACCTACAGTCTGTGTGTAAAATGCATTTCTTTTATACAGAAAACACTGAGCGAGGGGGGCAAATGGGCGTATATGCGGTGGTTATGACCGAGAGCGCCGGGAGACCGCAATCTCATCGACTGGCATGTGAGCGAGCTCGCTCTTTACCTTCCTGCTCACCCTGGGAGACGAGCCCTGCGACTGCAGCGTCCCTGTTTACCACGGTCCAGCGGGTTTGGGTGAGGGGCCACAGGGCAGGGTCAGGTGATGTAATGAGGCGGGACAAAAAAAATAAAAAAGGAGAGGAGAGGATCAAACCAAATGGGAGATGACGATAAGACGCAGAAACAAAGAGCAGGTATTGCTGGACGAACCGGTCGGACCTCAGACCAACTCCCAGGAACAAGAATGAAAAATGCAGGCTCTCTCAAATTGAGCGATTTCATTTCACACATAAGGAACCAAACTCCCTGGGATACACACAAAAACATACACTAGCAAAATCCTCAGCCCCTACTGTATGTTCAGAAAGAAATCAATGAGCACCAAAGGGATCAGGCGTGGATTTCTATGTGAATTCCTTATGCCTGCAAGTTAAATCAGGAAAAGGGAGCCATATGGAGGGGAACATATAGAGCAGGAGAATAGAGCAAAGAGGAATGAGGGAGAGTTTTGGAGAGAGAGAGAGAGAGCTAAGTTTCCTGATACTGAAGGCACTGTGGTGCCCTCTTACCAAGACGAGTGGAAAGCAAGGGTCTGCTCTTCAAAGAGAATATGCGTGGCGTGGTGAGCACTGCTCTGGTAACAATAAGGTTGTAAAATCTTTATCACCACAGGCTCCTTGCATGGCTCACCTTGACCTGATGACTGGAGTTACGCGTCTTTCCCTCTGAATGAACACCCCCCATTTTTTTTTTATTCTCTCCAGCAATCTATACCCCGGCTCGCGCTATTTGTTATTTCACCTTCCATTTCTCCCCCTGTGCTCTCTCTTTCTCTCTAACCTTCCATCTCCTCTTTCTTTTCCTTCTCTCCTAAGGCTTCTTCTGCCTTTTCCCCTTCTCTGGCTTCCTATATTGTTCCTATATAGATTCTTAAACTTTTTCACCCTTACATCTTTATTCCCTGCCTCCTGACCTCCCGAGGGAGCAACAAGTCTCCAACTATTTTTTTTCTTTTTCCCCCACTTTTGCTCTCTCCCCTTCCCTCTCCTCATCCCTGGCCTCCATCTTGCCTTCTCTGTGCTCAGTCCAGACTGTGACCCCTCACAGTTGTCTTCAGGGTGAAAGTCATGAAAGATCAGTGGACTGTGGCCCATCTGAAACTGTGAAACAATCAATGCTCAGGCTGCACATGCACTAACATCACAATTTCAAAATGATCACATGTAAGACATCAAGCTGCACCATGGATCTTCAAATATAACTAAACCAAGCCAAATGTTTTTAATGTCACAATTAGTTTGAACTAAACCTAAATAAACAAAAACTCTCCCCTTAACAAAATTAGCCACATTAAAATGAGCTTAATGAAAGAACACTGTGCTATACAGATGGGGTTACGCAACCCTCATACCTGCATACACTATGCAACAGACGTTATATAAACTAGAGTAATCTGTTTTGAATTCAAAGCAAAGGTAGGATATTCCATGTAAAACGCAAACGCATAAAAAGTACCCAATCACAATGTGACCTACAGCATCCGCCGCTTTCAGCCAACCACAGCCCTTGCATTGCCGCAGTGCATTGTGGGGAACTAATTAGCATGAAGGACTGTGGTCTCTGTGCAGCCATGACCTGCAAGCTGAGCACAAACTTCTTCCCTGCACGTCCTCCACCTCTCCGCGCCCGAGGAGCTGTGGAGAAGGTGTAGTCACTGGTGCGTTGAGTCGCAGCCCAAGTGATCAGCAACTCAGGGGAGTTAGGAGAGAGGAGGGCAGGGAAATGTGGGTGTTTCCTTGACCAACAGTGTGTCTTTGAAAATATGTGTGTGTGTGTGTGTGTGTGTGTGTGTGTGTGTGTGTGTGTCAAGGTTGGCAAGGTGAAACATCAGATTGACTGTCATCATGCATGTCTATCATTGCTCTGCTCCTCACTCTTTCCTCTTTGTTCCCTCCGCTGCGTGCTCCTCCACGGCCTTGTTTCCACTCAGTGTGGTCCACAGCAGAGCCCCGTGGTGTTTGGCTCCCGACTAATCAAACTAGTCAGTGTCACTACGCGGCCTTATCTAAAACACATGGCCATGTCAGTTCCCTTCACTCAACAGCTTTTCAACGTTTAGCAGGTTCCCAGGCTAAGGAACTTTAACTCAAAGAGTCTCAAGAGAAAGAAGTAAGGAACGGGAGGGATGCCCGGTAAAGAAATGCAACATACCATGTAAATACATTATTACTATGTATTAAAGTGTGTATTTTTTATTTTGCACATTATGACTTGTAGTGGAGGCGAATACAATACAGCACAACCGTGTGGGAGAGTGCAGGCGTATTTGTATATGTTTTCTTACAGTACTCCGTTATATTGAGGATGGTTTGTTTGTTTGTGTGTGTGTGTCTGAGCCAACGTGTTCTCACGTCACTCCTACAGTCGACTGCAGGGTGACAGTGTGTGCACACATTCCCATAGTTTACCTCGTAGAGCAGGCATCCTAGCGACCAGATGTCAGATTTGAAGTTGTATCCGTTTTCATGTATCCTCTCCGGTGACATGTAGTAAGGAGTACCCACTGGAACACAGAGGGAGAGGGGAGAGGGGGAGGGCGAGAGAGGAGGGAGCAAGAGAGAAGGACAGAAGAGAGATAGACAGAGGTAGAAAAGGGAGAACGGGACAAAGAGAGAGTGAGCGTTAACGTTTTGCAATGCAAACCCATGCTTCCCCCCAGTTCATCAACGTCACTGCCACACCTCACACGGAACAGAGAAGCAGGTGAGGAACGGAGGTGTAGTCTCACACCGTGACACATCCAGAGGTCGGAATACTCACCATATTATAGCAAGAGTTTAAAAAAAGACAACTAGAGGGAGACTTTCAAGCGCATTGCCTCTGTTAATTCCAAGTAAGCTGACGTCAGATCATATTTTATAAGGCTAGATGTCATCGTGCACAGTTGTACCACAAAGTTGCATGCACGTGAACAGCAGACATACTCGCACACGCAAAATATACATAAATCAGTTTTGATTACTGGGGCTTGGTAATGATCTGAAACAGTAGTCAGAAAGTACGCCCAGGGAGCAGCGTGGAGCCGGAAAAGTTTCTGGTTCTGGTTTGGAAACTCAAGAATCCCAAACTGCCATGGGGACTGGCAGAGCTCCAGAGAATCAGACCTTCACCCAACTGGACACAAAGGCAAACCACAGCTCAACATCACATCCATAATGCACTGCAGGATGCTTCGGAGATTTCTTTTTTTTTTTTCCATTTGCTTTCTGTTTTGCTGTGATTCCCCATGTAAAAGTCGATCAAGCAAATCCAGCAGAGGTTTTATATTAATCACACATGGTTATGGGATGGAAATTTTACCAGCCCTCTAACCAGTGCTGAGCGGCTCTCAGACTCCGCACATTCCACGTCCTCTCGTGCAAACACGAGAGTGGAGCCTCACTGAAATACGAAGAATGTACAACCTCCATCAGCGGCATCGCTGCACATGACGATGTGCGTCGGCTGCACCGTGGAGCTTGTGCTTCACATGTCACATGTTTACAATCATCAACATCGTCTCGCATTCTCCTTGGGATCCATACTGTTTATTAACCTGAAAACTGATTTGTAACGCTTAGATTACTAATTAAGCTCCTCATGTATCAACTGTTTAACGACATGACTGAATACCAAGTCTGATCACAATACGAGATTGATGACCTAGCATGGCATCGTTTTATTTAAATACCATTAATGACTTTTTTTAGTTGTTTGAGACTTAGTGAGCCTGATGTTCACTCTAAGCCTGTCGTGTCCAGCACAATCCAACGTGACACCAGCTCATTTTGTTTCCTTCCCCTAGAGTTGAAGGTGTACTTATCAAATTAGCTTGTGGAGTAACTGGCAGAATGAAATAGTATTTGACAACACAGGCGGAAAAAGTAGAAACTAGGGGGATCTCTTCATAGCTCTGCTGCGTGAGGGTCAGGGCAGGGATTTTACGGGCGGCCCGCCGGGCCTTGATGACAGACATGATGTCGGGACATTTTTTGAAGACACCAGCGTCTTTGGTTGAAATTCTGTATTATTCTAGAGCAACATCACGTGAAACGCGGCGCACATCACCAGAGGTGGGTTTGTTTCTGAGCCTGGTACGAACCGCTGGACAACCAGGCTGAAGAAAGACGGTCTGACCAAGTATTTATTTATTTCATGAAATTCCTGACTAGAAATTAAGCTGAAAAAGCTGTTTGTACATTGCTTTGCACAAAAGCCGAATGAAGACATGTGAATGTAAAAGCCGATATTAATGTTGTGCTTTGTTGTGGTTGTTTTTTTCCTTACAGAAAAGGGGCTTTTTTGTAACAACCCAAACAGTCTTGCCCCTACTTATAACCAAATATGTGCAGGGAAACGGATAGATGGAGCTATGAGGAAGAGTTTTTACAATATGCACAAACAGTCGAAGTGAGCTTGGTAGGTGAGAACGGCTCTCAGGTGGAAAGAACTCAGGAGAAAAGTTGGCTGGCAGTAAAATGGTAGGAAAACACTAACTATACACTCACCTCCAGTACTCACATGTGCACACACACACACACACACACACACACACACACACACACACACACAAACTCTCCAGAGCCACTCTGCACATTAACAGGTTGGAGGAAACTGAACTAATATAATTGCAATTAATAAAACTATTACAGACAAGGGCTATTAGATTTGAAGTCTACGGGAATGAAATTAAAGCTCGCACTTTTCATTTTGGTAAAGACTTAATTGGGTTGAGAGAAAATACTTTTATCTTAAATGTGTGGTTTTTAATAATGAAGTGTTACCTGTCATTCCAAAAATAATCAGCATCTGCACAGGCAGAGAGGAAGCAAGCGAGAGCAACTGGAAGAATAAACAGGGGACTGCTGGTTTAATTGGTCATCCGTTGGTATTGTGTGTGTGCGTCTGTGTGTGTGTGAGCTGTGAGGTCTCATGGTGCGGTCTGAACAAGCTCCCCTAAGATTCATTATTAGTTGATTAAAAAGAATCAGCCTCTCTTATGCTAATAGTGGCATAAAAGATGGCGGCAGCGCTGGGCCAGGACTCCTTCAGCATGCTAAATCAAGGGCACATTACTTATTCATGCAAATAAATTGAAAGTCATGTTGGGATTGATTTCCATTATTGTGAATGGCTGTGACAACACTGTATTCTGTGCGAAACAGGGTAATGGTTGTTGTATAGGAGGTGAGATGCCATCCGGTATAAAGAAGCCCACGGTTCTAACCCCCTGCTGAATGTTCTTGGTGATCATTAAAATACATTTATTGATTCAGGCTTGCTGCAATTTCCTTACAAACAATTCAAACCTAAAGCTTTTGCACAACCATTTACACACTGTGACGCATTTCTCAGGGAGTTTCCATTCATGGCGCGAGCCTTCTCTAATCTAATCTGTGCTCTATTACCAGATACTGTATTTTAAACAGCAAGCGGGATTCCGCTGCAATCTCAAAGACTATGATTTAGTTTCTCTTTCGGACCCAAGGCGGGAGTTTGTAAACCTTTGCTCTAACGTGTTCTAACAAATAAGCCTTTAAGTTGTAGGCAGCAGCGCAGCCAGAAGGACTTAATCTCATCGTCAGAAGGCGTTCTCTGTATTCCCTTATATTCCCATCATGTTTTCTAAAACTTCCTGCTGAGCACTCACCCCCCATTTGGCTCTCCACCTACCCCTCTCTGTTTCACGACTTGCTTGCCTTTATAGATAACCAAGACTTTATAAAGGCCTACATGTTGAAATAGTCATAATTATTTTCAACATAAGCCTCCCTGCAGTCTTTCTGCTTCCATCTTGTTCTCCCTCCTCCTCTCCTTTCCTTTCCCTCCGTTTCCCCTGGTACTCATCGTTAACACCTCTCTCATTACAAGTGTTAATTGCAGGTATATTATACAACTTATTACTGCCAATTGGCTAGTCTCTCATTCCTCTTAACGATTGCATCCGCTTTCCTGTTACTACCGTTCTTTTATTCTTTTTCTCTTTAACCCAACTCCTGCCATTACCCTATACGTAACCATCTTCAGCCAGAAAGGCAGAGTGTGTCTTTTGGCACACTTGTGTGTATTTTTGTCAGCCTTGTGTCTCAGAGTCAGGATGTGTCACTGAGTGTTTGTCGGTTTGAATGCTGCAAATCTGCGTGAATGTGCATGATTATCTTACTCTGCATGTGTGTGTGTGCGCGTGAATTCAAGCGCATTTGGATATGCACATGCGTCTCTGTGAATACATACATCTGTATAAGAGACAAAGAGTCTGTGTGTCTCCCAGTCTGTGCATGAGTGAGTAAGAGACGAAAAAACTGTGCGAGTGTGTGTGTGTGTGTGTGTGTGTGTGTGTGTGTGTGTGTGTGTGTG